TAAATATAAAATTATCTAATTTGGTTTTTGAGTTTAATTTATTACTGGCATTTTGTTATATCTTGATTTATCTATATACAGTTGGGGACACACGAAACAATCCCTAACGTGGATCGTATACTCTCTCATTTGGCCCCTATTGATAGCACCAATGCATCCGAAGAAAGTTTTGAAGAATACTTCACTACCCTTGAGGTAGCTGATAAGTTGCAGATAATGGAATTCTTGATAAACAACGTTGCAAAAACCACCCTGATTCATGAACACATCGAAGGATGTGTTAACAAGCAAACGGAGTTGAATAAAGAAAAGAATGAAATCATCAAGGAAAGGAAACATATGTAAGTGGTATAAGAATACCAATACTTTAATTATGTTCCGTCATTAATTTTCTCTTATCATGATAACAGCGCGAATTCCCTTGCGGAAATCACCAAAGGAAACGTTTCCGTGCCACGTGTAAAAGGAAAATCGTCTACAGAATCCATGAATGGTGAAGACAGTCTAGTTTCAAGAAAGCTTAAGCTGGAGGAAGAAGATCTTGCATTACAAAAGAAAGTCAGTATATATCTCTTTTATTAATATACTCTACATCAATCTATCAATTTTGTTATATCTTATTTTAATGATTTATTTTTAGGAGGAGCATGTTGAAAAAGAAAAACGTAGATATGCATTACCACGGACAGGCCCAATGGGCTACGATAGATTTCATAATAAATATTACTATTTTGATGAAGCAGGATTAGTTGTTAATGAGAGATATGGTACAGGTAGAGTCTTGGTTCAGGTCCCTAGCACTAAAGAACTTGCAGACACATTAACTGAAGCTATGCGCCAAAAGTATAACAAAAGAAGAAAAGTGGAAGAAAGCTTTGGAACAGAAGAGACGCAATGGGGATATTATGAAGATTCCGAACAAGTATTTACAACTTTCGAATAAGAATGTTTTTAACACTCGTGATTTACATTACAACGAGAGCGAATTTAGTAAATAACAGGCCAAATCAGGCTTCATTATATTAATGTAATTATGTCCTGTTATTTAGGTTGACGATTTGCTGAAATGGTTTAATGAAAAGGGCAAAAGAGAACTAATATTAAAGAAAGAAATAAGCTCCCGACTTCTCGATATCAAATCGGGCATGGTTAAGCGAGTGCAGGTATGTGAATTAATGGCGAATAATGAATTTCGGGCAATTCGAGGATTGACTAATTATTTTTTCCTGAGAACTCGATCTTTACTAGCGTATATCTTTGTTATCTTTTCGTTTTAGGATCTAATTGCTTCACGAAAAACCGCTGAAGTGCGCCGAAGTAGACGCACTCAGGCGACAAAGGCATTGCTTTCGCAACAATCTTACATGAAGTGGACCAACAAGTTGTCTAAGTAAGACTTTTTTTATCTTGAAAACATAAAAAAAAAAATTAAATAGATTTAGTAATAAATAATAAGAATAAAAAATAATTATTGAAAAAAAAAGAGATTGTCCAGAAGTTAAAACCGGATTGGGTTCGCTCAATCGTCCCCAGGCCTGTGTCATTACCTCATCGTGGTGCCTGGGTGAACAGGAAGTTTAAATCCTGGCCAATGATGACACAACTATAGTGTTCTTTCATTCAAGTTAATTTATTATAATGCTAAATTCTTACTTTCACCTTTTATTTTTTTAAAAAATAAAATAAAATAGGATATAAACGACAACATTTATTTAAGGTATGCTTATATCTTAAACGGCTTATCATAATCCAAGATACTCATTAAAAATAACATGGTTTTTTTCAAAGTTCTTGATATTTTATTTTGCTTTTTTTATTTTTATTATTTCACACTCCTAAATATGCTAAATCTTACACTATTATTTATTACGTTCTATTATTTACACGCATTCTTTCCTTACACGTATGTTGCATTTTACGCCTTTTTATTTATAAATAACTTAATAAAAATTTGTCTATCTTGAAGATTCATATAGAGTTGAGATTAAATGAATTTATTTAAAGTCTAAATTTAGTGTCGATTCTTTCCAAACCAGTTACAACATTTGAAGAATTTGAAAGGAGATTAAGAACCAATTTAGCCGAATTTAGGACACAGTCATTTATACTAACACCCCAATAACTCGCACCTGTAACGCTCAATTGATTTGGATAATACTTTTTAATTGCATAATGCAATTCTTCAAGTCTTGAATAGTGACCAACATAATATTGAGGTATACAATTCTTGTGTATATCAACAAGATAATAAAGTGGGGTAGAATAGATTCCAAGATGTTTTTCCAAAATTTCCATGGATTGCTGTAATAAGATATCTTTATTTGGAAAATCAACTTTTCCGGAAATGGAATTAAAATAATGACCACCAATCATCACGGTTAATTTTGTGTATGTTCTTGGAGGTTCATCTTGTAGTGGCATAGCGTCTGAATCAAATACTACGCCAAGAATGTGATAAGGATTGTTTGGTGTTGATTGTGGTATTAAATATCCAAATCCTTTAACCGGTAATATCTTTGGATGATTGTATGCTATATTGATAGTTGCTACCGAAACTGATGGATTATAATCCAAGTGAGGAATTGTTCCTTTGTCAGGAAGAATATGGGAAAGTTCGCGTGAAGGTATTGTACTGATTATGTGATCAGCTTCGTAAACTCCATCATTTGTTGAAATCTAAAGAACGAACCGAGTTATTAATTTTTTTTTCTTAATAAATATTTTATTCACAACGACAATAAAGTAATATTAAATCACCTTTATCTTTTTCCCGAATTCCAATTTAATTACTCGATTATCCGTTTTTAATTGTACATTTTCTCTGTTTTTCAAATCATTTACAATGGCTGATGGTAATTGTTCAATACCATCTTTAAAAGAATAAAGACTAACATCTTTCATTATTGCCAAAAGTTCTTTATTTTCATCATTAACAATTTTCAATAAATCCTTATCTTGTTGACATAAAAAAGCTTCTTTATTGCCCATCAATAAACCTTTAATGACGGAACCATGCCTTTGTTCTAAATCATATAGCCTTGTAAATATTGATTTGACGGAAAGCTTTTTTACGTCACCGGCATAGATTCCATGTATAAGTGCACTGATCAATATATCTGACACGGATTTATCGAATCTTCTCGAAATAAATTCATGAATGGATTCATCCTCATAATTTTTTGAGGATTTAACGAACGGTTCTAGGAGAATTGACGATGCCGTCTTTAATAGGAATTTATTTAACATTACGGATTTTAGGCTTGAGAGTAGTGATGATCCTGGAAGCTTCACTAGTCTATCTGGATAATATATATATCGATTTTTTGAAGCATCATCATTCTTTGTAACAGCATGTAAAGATGAAGTTAAATTCAATTTATTAATCTAAAAGAGAGAGATATATATATACATATATACATATTATATATAATTATTATGATTTAATATTCAAACGTAAAAATCATTAAATATTCATTTCCATATTCATATTAATAACAACAAAACAACTTGCCATATCTAATACAACCGGACCTCCTATCCCATTTGGTCTCAAAGTTCGTGGACCTTGTTCAAAAAGAATTTTATGTTCCCCAACTCTCTTACTTTTTATCCAACCTCCGAACCTATTTGAACCTTCTAATATTGTGATTTTTGTTGTAGAAGGTACGTGACGAGATAGATACCATGCTGCACTTAATCCTGATATACCTCCTCCTAAAATTACAAAATTATTTGGTCTTGACATAATTATACTTTAAGGTTAGGGAAATCTAAATTTTGTTTCGATGAAGACATGAAACAATGAAAACGGCATATCAAGCATTAAATGGTTATTTGTATTTTTTTTAAATCAGGAATCCTATTAAAATTTTTCATTATGATCCCTTTCGAACTGCTTTTGAATTATTGATTATTATTTTTTGATGATGAAACTCTTGTACCACATCTTTCTGTGCACTGTTATACAGAGAATTTCGGGGACACAAATTTTTTGAAATTTAATAACTAGAGCTATGCTAATTTTATATTTACATGCGGTTTGTGGATCTCTCGTGATTAACTTGCATGACGTATATCGTAACTCAAATCATGAGGATCGGCTAATCGGGGACCATGTATACATCATAATCAAAAAACATTAGGGCCGATGTGGGCAAACTTTATTGATATGGGCAGATATATGATTTGATATGCACGTGCAAGAAATATTTTTCTGATGGACAGGGTTGGCAAGGTTGCGCAGAAGAATGAATGAATCATGTGGCGTAATACAGTATGGCAAATGTAGTACTTCGCAACGAATATGAATGAAGTGAATTATCGGGGAAATTTATTACATATTCCAAATGCATTACACACTCTCATAAACCTTCACGAAACAAATAAAAATATAAGCCCGAATTGTTGGGCAAACTTTATTAAAACGTTTTAGCCAAAAACTTCAAAAAAGAAAGTTACCAAAAGATGGTGACCGAGGCTGGACAAGCTTGTCTGAGCTCGTCAAATCTTCTGCTTTAAAATATCAGCAATTACATAATCTTTTTTCATCCTTAGTTAGATTTAAGACATATGATGGGGGGATAGATCTAATCCGCGCTATTTTTTCTTTCCTTGTGCTATTAAAAAGTTTATACATCTTTTCGGATCTCTCTGTCTTTTTTCGCAAAGCTTCATCCGAGCATTTTGACTCAGGAATCGCCTCCCTAACCTCAAAGCCTGTTACCATGAACTGAATTCACAGTGACTTGTGGCATCAATAAAGACGATTATCAAAAAAGATACATCATAAATTTCATTTCGGAAAATTATCAGTGAAACTTTAATATTGATGTTACAATTATTACAAGCTATCCTATATTAAACTATCGAAATCTGATACAATAAACTTATCACACATTAACTTCCTACATAGATATCTTAACCGGTGAAAAAAAAACTCCTTTGGTCAAGCGCTTATGCCCTTTATTTAATGCCTCATAAAATTTCATGATAGAATGGTTTTAACACCTACCACCAACTTCCGAGAACCCCTCCACCGTCCTTGGAACTTCCACATGCTGTAAATCCATTGTGATGATGGTGTTTTCAAAAAGATATTTAGATGCAGAAATTTTAAGGCGAAATTCATTGGACTGTAAGGTGTAGGTTTCGATATCTGTTATTCTGTTTTTAGTGGCTGAAGGTAACGCAAAGAACAGGGCTGTTAGAATAACTTTGGAGCAATATTCCAATTTTTGGAGGTCTCCTGTCCTTTTACTAGGGGTATTAAAAACTCCATCCTCCTGAGCTAAAATTTCGGTCCCTAAAGATTTCAAAAGACCCTTTCCATCTAACTTCGGACCACCACGGCTGGAAACATTTAGTAATCCTTTAAGTTTCTCATATGACTTTGACGCCAGCTCACCACAACTTAACTTTAAATCGTCCTTTCCAAGAAAGGCATTTCTGATCAATGGAGTCCATACATATGCACTGAACTCGTGTTCAGACATTGGTTGAAGTAGGGTATCATTTTTGAATAAGAAATAGAAATGATCAAAAAGAATTCGTACATAAATAAGATCATTAGATGCAACGGACATGTCAATCGGATTTTCGTTCAAACATCTTGCCAAAGATGCTAAATCCCCTATGTCTTGAAACTTATCCAAAAATATCAATACCTCCTCCTCACAATCCATTATAAACTTGTCAATAAATCGGTTGTCAGTAAAATAGATAGATGCAGTTTCACAATCCTGAATTTGATCTGCTATGAACTGTTTGAAATCAAGAGGTAGAAATTTTGTGCAACTGGTGTTATTAATGTTGACAACACCAATGGATAGAGGGCTTTTCGCCAATTCAGTTTTCTTCACTTTTGAGTAAGCGAAGCTCAAGATATCGACATTATCATACATCAACTTCTCACCCGGCAGGATTTGTGTCTGGTATGATTTTAAGACTTCGTCCGCTAAGTCGCGGTTGATATATCTTCTGGTTGTTTTTTGCTTTTCATCCTTTTCTGATACCAAAGATGTGCTTGAATCAATGGTTTTAACTCCATTTATATCAATGGGCTCAATGAGATCGACTGGTGTTTGTTGTTGTGTAAATAATCAGTCTTAAAATCTACACTGCTGTTGCTTCATCCATTATAATTAATTTAGAATGTCGTACTAATAATGCTCTTGCTCATGCTATTAATTGTTGTTGACGTTGTGAAAAATTACTTCCATTCTTATTGAAAGGTGAATAAATGTCAACGTTTCTCTTTTGTTTTATTATGATACCGATTCATTTGTCACGGGTGATTTTCGTTTAACGATTAGGTTAACGTAGAATCTATATTTTCATTATCTGCATCTTGAATGATGTGAACTCCTCGAAGTGATAGATAAAATCAGTTAATCTTTTTTTTATGTTTTTATTCTCTTCCGAGTCATAATAATTAAGATCATTTCAAATTAATTAATTACCTTAACGTGTTGTTAAACAAAATGGGATCTTGCGGAATATTAGTGATTTTTACTTCAACGATCTTAAAGACCAATGGTAATAATATCGATGCCATCCAATTCAATAGTTGGTTGTCGCAAATGTTGATTTTCCACAACCTGTTTTTATTTTTTTTTTTTACAAATAAAAAAAACAATTGAATTTTCTTTATTTTCTTTCATAAGAATAATTAGCAAATTGATAATTCATAATGTTCATACTACATACCAGTTCTTCCAACAACACCAACTTTTCCTGATGTGACTATATCAAATGTAACTCCTTTAAAGACGGGTGGAAGTTCAGGTCCATAAGATATCACCAAATCTTTAAACATGTACTTCTCCTTAACGGACCATTCTATTATCTGAAATTATTGGTTTAGCTTCAACATCTAGTGAATCTGAATAAAGTACGTCATTCTATGGCATTCATATTTCGCTTCCATAGGAAAGTTTTTTATTTGAATAGATAAAAGTAAAACATTGACTTACCACTTCAGTAAAATGCCTGATACACCAGTTGAAATCGCCAGTGAATTGAAGTGCTTAACTCCAAGAATAGTAAGGTTTTTACATTATATCTTTCAATAATAGAAAATAAACTTGTAAAAATACAAACGCATTTGCAATTGTTTCAAGCCGAATACCCAACCAACATTGGATAATGATTATAAGGAAATATGCCCGATTTTCAATATCAACGATTGCCTCATTCATACTATCAATTAAAAATCTATTTGAGTGAATTGTTCCTAAACCTACAACAAAAATATCATTTAAAGATAAGACAAATTAAAAAAACCAGTCTTGTTCACGATTAGCTCAAATCGTAGGTATGACTCTGATAAAGAGACAAACTAAAAAAAAGTCTCTTAATTTATGCTTAACGATATGTAGAGCGCAGCAAAATAATATAATGTCATAAGCGGAACCAAAGGAATACAAATACAATACTGATTAAAATAAATGTTCCAAGCACAACCGCTAGAGTGCTAAGAAACATGCGTTAAGTGTCAGAAAGTACATACATTAACGCATTATTGCATACACTCTTTATCTCATTTTTTAGAGGATCTCCCTGTTTTATTATGAATGCGCGTTGATCAAGATTTTTGTAATGCGATTATAATAACGTATTTTCCCCAACAGCATATTATCAAAACCAATCCAGTAAAATATGGTGTCCCCACCTTTTATCCTCCTTTTGCAAATATAAGCAAAAAATCAAGCAAAAAATCAAACGAAAGCTCTAATACAATTTCAAACCTATCATTATTTGCATCCTACCTTATATTTATATGCGAACTTGAATAATCCGCATATAAATATAAGGTAGGATGGTTTATTACTCGGTTAGTTTCTTTGAAACATGTCATCACGATGTTAATGATTTTCTACCTTTATAGATGTTCTAAAATAAAATGGACACATTACTACATATTATTCTTGTTATACAGTATATCGGCATTTTGATATTCGCTGTGAAAATCGTCAACACGTGTTTCGTTGGCGCAAATTCACCTGATTTTAATCACATGCTACGAAATCTGTCAATTAACTTGATGTTTGATATTAAAATCAAAAGAACTTCCGAAATCTTTACTTTTTTCACTCTTTTCACGACCACATACTGCACACGACCCCTTATTACATAATAATTATTCAACATTTAGGATGGTTTAAAGTCTCGAAAGAAGGTGGATCTAGAAAAACTAAAAGTGGATCTAAGTAGAGCGAAACATAAAGAATATAATATATAAATTTGTGGCTAAGTTGTTATGTAAAGTTGCGCAAATTTTGTAACGCATTATTTTTTTATTGATTGAAATTTTATCACCCTGTCTCATGGTCTTGAGAATTTTGCATAGCCACCTTTGCTTAATTATAAATATCATACCCAAAATCCCCTCTATTTTTCTCAAATTTTCTCCTTTCTACCAAAATTATTGTAAAAATCTCAAAAAAAAAAAATTTTTTTTTGAATTTCCTTTCAATTCTCATAAATTATCATAATTTCCTTCATCAATATGGACAAGGCAAACCAAAAACAATTCTTTAACCACCATTAACATAATCTATGACAATAACAACAATTTTATCTAATAGAATTAACAGTCTCTCTTCCCAGCTTAATAGATATAGACATAGAAGTTACTACCTCAAAAATATCTATAATGATCTTCAATTTCAATTAAAATATATGGAGCAAAATTGAAAGATTACAAAGATTAAATGATATTTAACTATAGACCTTTGAAGAGAAGTGAATCAACTTTGATGAAATTACGACTGTTTATTGAATCAGCCTCAATATAACATAAACATTAATTATAGATGAGAAAATTATTGCATAGTATTCTATAATAAAATAAAAAAAATAATGCAGAAATTTTATTATAATAGTTTAAAAAAACTATCATGTAAAAATAACTTTTTGAGATTGAAGTTTTAAAGATATAAACTTGTAATTCTTGAGAAGTCATTCTTATTTTGTATTAATAAAGTTTTATTATAAAACAAATCCTTAAAGCATATTTATTTTATTTGTTAATAATAAAATAACTTTATATAAATAAATTCTTAAAAGAATTTGTTAAAGAATAAAAGAGAACCCTTTATTAATAATTATATATAATCATTATATACATAAGGATATATCTTAATTATTTTAAAAAGTATTTTGAAGATTTAGTTAATGAAATTTCTATACTTCCTGACTTAGAAACTGAGATTGTGAACAAATATCAAAATAAGATGATATGGAAAAGCATGTGATGCTTTTTCTCTATAAGTAAATACTTTTTTAAATAAATGTGAGCTTTAAACTAAGTTCAGCTGTTATTTAATCATTAAATATTTTAGTTTACCTAATTAACAGTTAGATAATGATATAATTTATATAAGTAAGAAAAATATAAATAAATAAAATTTTGTATAGCTTTATTTTAAGACATTTTGTTAAATATTATGAATATAAGTAAGATAGATTATTTAAGAAATCTGATATTTATAAAAAAAGTCTATAGATTGAAAATTTTATAGTTAATTATATAATTTACTTATTTAAATAATATGATAATAATTTTGTATTATAAGTTCTGATTAATATCTTGAATATCTTATTTCATAATAATATATAAATATATTTACATAATAAATGTTTAATAGAAATTTAGTAAAAGTTTATATTTAAGAAAATTTAATATATAAGGAACCACTTTTTATTCTCTTATAATTTGTTTTTTTAAAAATTTTTTACAAAAAAGCATAATTTCTAATACAAAAATTTATAAATTAATTAATAATCTCACTTTTATTAATAAGAAAAAGATTATCTTATATTCTTACTTTTATAAAAATTTTAATAAAATAGATAAAGCATTAGCTTTTCTTGATACTTATAAATGCTTGAAATTTACTTTAGCATTAATTAATAATGTCAAAATTAATAATATCATTCGATATTTATTATAAATTATTAATATAATTTAATTGGTAATTTATCAATTCACATTAAAGTATATTTTGAAATGAAATATGAAAAGATTTTTTAAAAATTAATATATTTTAAAAATAAGAACAACTTTTTAAATATTTGATATATATTCATTAATTTTGATTTTATCTTCTAATTCAATTTAGATGAATATTAAAGTAAACTATTACTTTATCATAATTGGTTAATATTAACTTAATATTTTTAATAACATATTTATTAATTCATTATCTAAAGCTAAAGATATTTTAACTATTAAAAATATCAAAGAAAACTATTAAACTATATATTTATAATTCATCTCATAAATTATCAGACAATATTTCAAATGATATTTCTGATATTTTAATTTATCTAAAATTTATACTATGAAAAAGAAATCATGAAATTTATAATAAATATGAATAATTTGTATCTTTTTATCATAAATCTAAAGCATATAAAGAATTAAAAAAAGAAATAAAATTTCTTATAATTGTTGATAATGTTAGAAAGGAAAATAATTTGCTTAACTAACAAATTAAAAGTTTGTTCTAAAATAGTATATTATAATATAATAAAAAAATAAAAGAATATTATAATATAAGTCAGATTTTCAAATTATATATGATGATATAATAAATAATAATTTAGAATTTTTTAAAAAATCTTTCATAATAAAATTATTATAAAAGTTTAAAGAAAGTAGAATATTCAGAAATATGTGATGCAGATATATGCGTATATTGTTACACCTAAAAATGATATGCAAAAATGATTTTTTTTTTTTTTTTCTATTAATGTGCGGTGACTTAAGGCCCTGCTAGAGGAAAACTTGTTAACCAAGTTAATATTACCCTCGAAACTTGGCCTTTAAAGTCTCTGATTCACAGTTAAGGGATACAGCAACCCAGCACTAGAAGCACATCCCCATCAGTTGCCACCTAGTTAGACTACCTATAACAGCTATACCTGCAATTATAAGCTCACTAGACCGTCAGGTACTATCATCTTTTGGATAGAGGGTTCACATCAACTATAGAGCTTGTCACACTTTATTTTTACCAATCTAAT